CTTCATAAGTTCAGCCAACTCAGGAGGCATGTTGCCAAAGTTCTGGTTGGCCATCATGTTGAAGTCGGGTTGGCCCATCATATTGAAATCCGGGTTGCCCCAATTATCCAAGCCGCGCTGGACTGTTGCTGCCCGATTGTTGTTTCGGGGGAACCGGCCTTGCCCGTTTCGCGGACCTGCCTGCGCGCCGCCGCGAGTGTGTGTATTGATGCGCTCGTTGCCGGTTTGTCTGCGAACGCGGTGGAGGCCTGAGTCTGGCGTTCTGTCGTTGGGTCTGGCGTTGTTCCCTATCGTGCGCCTGTCTCTTCCGCCTCTGGTGTTCCCATTTCGCATAGAGCGCGGACCTGTGGGACTGGAGTTCTGTTAGTATGGCTCATAATACCGGGTCTGGCGGTGAGGAGGGGAACTTACGCATTCAATCCGGTAGCATCATTGGAACCCATATCGGTATCCATGTCTCCTGAATAACTTGCATCGGCATGATCTTTTCCTGCCTGGGAAGTCCCATTCAACTGCCCATTGATTGTGTCGATCTGCTCAAACAGCCATCTGGAGAAGTCGCGTGCGCTGGAGTCTTCGGGCGATAATCCTAGCAGGTCGCCTGCAAGCTCTGCGGCGATTTGTTCCTCCTGGTTTCCATTGGCAAGCATCAGGATGATCAGCTCGGCAAGCGATGCCTCGTTGCCGTCACCGTTCCCCCATCCCGCCTCTACCAGCTTCGGCTGGATCGCGGCGTTGAGAGCGTCGGCCAACGGCGTGTTGAGCGCTACTTCGACAGTCATGGTCGCGTCGCCAAGTAGTAGGGACTGGCTCGGTGTGTGAGGTTGTGACGATAGCCCTGCGGCCTCGAACGTCGTCGTCTCGACGCGTAGAGCTGTCGCTGATAATACGGGTAGGGTGCAAAAAACTTGACTTGCTGGGCGATTCTAACTCTCAGCACTCGGCGGGCGAAATATGAAAATGCGATGAGTTGAAGATGCGCTGGGTTGGGCCCAGTCGGATTTTAAACGTTGAGGTTGATGGAAGCTAGGAGCCTTGCATAGAATTGAGCTTTGGGTTGACAAAGCCTTGTCTCGTGTCGCTTTGTTAGCCTCTCTTGATTTGATGCCGACAAAGACGAGTCAGCCGCGGTCACGTGATACACTCATTTCTAAGCGTCTTGGATCACCCTTCTCGGTGTTTGAGGTGGCTGGGAGGCTATGCCTGCTTCAAAGCGGCTAGGTTTCTCTCGAAGGGAAGAAAGGCTGTTTTTTTGCGATGACTACAATGCGAAAGATCCTACGTCTTGCCCATGGCATGTATTGTGTGACGAATCAAACGTCACTGCTATTCTTCAACAGCGGGTGGCTTGCAGCTGGAAGTGTCAGAGCATCACGTGATGCTCCGCTCGAGCCTTTTTCGCCACCTTCCCTGGAGATTTTGTTCCTCTAAACAGCCCGTTCATCAATGTGCTACGCGACATGTCACAAATTATGGAGAGAAAAAAGCAAGTTCATGTGTGATCTATTGTTAGTACTTTTGCGGCTTAGTATTGTGTAAGTATGGGTTTGTCTTTTGACACTCTGTGGATCTATTTTCTTTATTGAGGATATTTATGAATAGTCAAAAATGTTAAGGTACGTATGGTGTTTCCAAAATACATTGTAACAAAGATGAGAATATTTTAGGGCGCTCAAAGGTCATCACTTTCGAAATCTTTGTCTGAGGAGAACACTTCTCAGTACCTAAAAGTGTCCAATTGTTACAGGCAGTAGCAACTGAGAAACGACGGCAGAATCTGACCATTCAGCACCAGTTCTGGATCTCGATTCAAGGCAATCAATCTCGCGGAAACAATCGCAAGACCAATCCGCGCGGACTCCGAAGCAATCTGATTGGCAGCTGAGCGAGCAAAAGTCCTTTTCTTGCTCCATTGCTCCGTGACCTTCGTCAGTAGAAATCGAACCGGAGAGACTCATGGGGGTCTGTTCATCTGTCTGAGTTTATTGAGTGGGCAGTATGCAAGGGTCCCCAGTGTAGATACTAGGCAAGGATAGGAGGACAAAGCAAAATGCTTCCAAATGTGGTGATGAAAGATCTGTCCCTCGCTCGAGCAGCAGAGCTGTTTCCCAACAGAGGAATGAGTATCAGGGTGATCTCTCCGCCCCTGCTGCATGCTTCAAGCAGGTGACAATCCTGAACAGAGGAGCGAATTACGAACTGGACCATGATATTAACCGCTGGCCGGAAGCCCACTTACCCCACGGCCGAGCGAGAGGCGCGTTCCTGATTCCGGTATCCACGTCGCAGTGCCCAGCCGAGAGTCCGACGGGAGCGAGGTTTTGACACCTGCAGAATAGCACAAAGCATCGTCGCCACGAGGCTTCACGCCTGGCTGTGTATTTTCGATACCACCCACCCTTCTTGCTCTCGGGGCTCTCAATCTCCCCGATGCGATCTCTCCCGGACGCCTAGTTGCTTCAGCCCAGCCCCCCACCATCTCCGTCCGCCAATTCGCAACCGCCTTTTACAAACTTCTGCCTCGGCTGCTCTCTCGTCCCATCCATGATGCCATCCATCATGGTTAGGGTATAATGGCATTGCCCAGGCTTCCCCGCATACACGCATCTTGCCGGACACCCTCGTAGAGCACAATTGGGTGTCCAGCCCCAGCGTTTCGCCCATTGAAGGGTGTCTAATCACTCAGAAGTCCCCACGGGCTTCGGACGGCATGTATCATGTTAATAGCTAGAGCGCCGAATGATCCCCGCATGATGCGCTCGGGATGGGCCCAGCCGCACGCGTGTTTTGCCAAAAGTTATAAAACCTGGGTGGCATCTCCTCCACCCTGCCGTAGCATTGTGTGCTGGTCTCGTATGGCTTAGCAAGATCTCTATTACATCCCAATTGCCTACCTTGGACAGGCCCGTATCCCTTTTTTGTACATTTGATAAGTGGCTCTGAGATCAATTGCCTGTCATGGCGATCGTGGAGACCGTGGTTGAACACCTTACAGTCAAGTCGGTGGTCGGTTTCCTGGCTGCTGCACTGTTCCTCCGATGGGTTGTCTTGCGTGTCAATGAGCATATCCGTATTAAGAGGCTGGGGAAATATGGCTTTCGCGTGCCATCATATCTGCCTTTTGGTTTGTAGCCCCTGGTCTCTTTGTAGAACAGTTTTGTTGCTGTCACTGTGTGGTTCCCCCGGCTGACAGATTATCTTTCAACTTTGAGGGCTTGACGTTCTATATGTTGCGGTCATAGAGACTATGAAAAGCAGAAACCTCGAGCATTGGCGGGACGGATTCTTCCTCAAGTACAATGTCTGGACGGTGGAAGCCCGTGTCCTCGACAAGAGAGTCGTCTTCACTGCCGACCCGGAGAACATCAAGGCTATCCTGGCAACCCAGTTTCACGACTTTGGCAAAGGCGAACCGTTCCACAAGGAATGGTCTGACTTCCTTGGGGACAGCATCTTTACGACCGATGGCGAGCAGTGGCATGCCAGTCGCCAACTTATCCGACCGCAGTTCACTCGAGACCGTGTGAGCGACTTGCACTGTTTCGAGTCACACATGAAGATTCTCTTTCGTGCCATTGACAATTGCGGGCCTCTGAGCAGCCATGACCAGGAGGTTAAGCCTGGGAGTGGCAATGGCAGGGTGTTTGACATCAGTGATCTGTTTTTCCGTTATACACTGGATGTAACGACCGAGTTTCTTCTGGGCAAGGACACCATGTCTCTCTCGTATGTGTCTCTTATTTACTCTTCTCGGCTTGGAACTAAGTCTGTTTCTCAATGCTAACATGGGGGACGACCCTTTCTTGCAGAACACCTAAAAATGAGTTTGCCGACGCATTCAACGAAGTTCAGCGCGTGCAGAATATCATAGCCCGCGCAGCATTCTTCCGCAAAATCATCCCGAAGCCATCATACTGGGCCGGCCTCGAAACGATGAACCGATTCGTCAACATCTACATTGAGCGCACCCTACGACTCAGCCCCGAGGAGCTTGAGAAGCACAACAAGTCCGACAAGGGATACACCTTCCTCCACGCCCTGGCCGGCTTCACCCGCGACCGCAAAGTGCTGAGGGACCAGCTCGTCGCCATCCTCCTCGCCGGCCGCGACACCACGGCGTCGACGCTCTCGTGGGCCATCTACGAGCTCGCGCGGCACCCGGAGGCGGTCAAGAAGCTGCGGGCAGAGATCCTGAGCACCATGGGAAAGGACGGCCTGCCGACCTACGAGTACCTGAAGAACATGCCCTACCTCAAGGCCGTCGTCAACGAGACGCTGCGCCTCTATCCCATTGTGCCCTTCAACGTGCGCCTCGCCCTCAAGGACACCACCATCCCGCGGGGCGGTGGCCCGGACGGCACCGAGCCCATCGCCGTCCTCAAGGACACCCCGATCGCGTACTCCCCCCTCATCATGCAGCGCCGCGAGGAGTTCTACCCGCCGGTCTCGGAGAAGTTCGCCGACCCTAAAGTCTTCAGCCCCGAGCGCTGGGAGCACTGGTACCCCAAGCCTCACTACTACATCCCCTTCAACTCGGGCCCGCGTATCTGCATCGGGCAGCAGTTCGCCCTCACGGAGACCAGCTACGTCCTCAGCCGGCTGTTCCAGAGGTTTGAGCGCGTGACGAGCCACATGGAGGAGCTCGATGGCGGGGTACCGCGGCTCAAGACTGACATTACCTTGGGGCCTGCGCAAGGAGTCATGGTCTCCTTTTGGGATGCCAAAGATTGAATAACATGAATGGCTTTGCCTTGCTTCTTTTCATGTCGTGTAAATATGGGAAATGAATTATGATCCTGAGAATGTCTGAACGTAGATGGCTTTCACATAAAAGATGCAATTTGGATATCTATTATGCCTGTCATTCTAATGCAACCCATTAAATGAACACCTCATGAGAGACATGCATACGTTATCAAACTCGAACCAAACTAGATATACTCTCCAACCCCCGTGCTTGACGATCCCCATACTTGAGGAGAAGAAAGAAATTTGGAGGTCTAGTTGACACCGAAGCTCTTCTTCACAGCCTCGCCAAACCGGCTGATCGCCTCGCTCATCTGCTCCCCGCTCGCGGAAGCGAACGTCACGCGGAAATACAGCCCCTGCAGGGCCTTGTCCTTCTCAGTGAGGAACCAGGAGCCTCTGGCCACCAATACGCCGTTCTCGATGCACGAGTTGAAGATGTCCTCCTCGATTTTGATCAGGTCGGTTCCATCGCCAGAGGGGTGTTGGGTGTGGTCGACGGTAAGCCACATCTGCAAGATAATTAGCAAAACAAGGATCTCAATGGGAGGGTTGGATCTCCATAATTGGACATTCGGAGGAGATGAGGTGACTTACAAACATGCCAGCAACGGGTGGCGTCCAGCTCACCAGACTCTGTGGGAGGTGCTCCTCGCACGCCGCCAGCATCTTGTCTCTCTTGTGGGTGTACTCCTCACGGAGGTTGATCAGCCACTGGAAGTAGCCCTCGTGGCCCCAGGTGTCGTCCAGGAGCTTCCAGAGGACCACCTGCGACAGGCCGCTGGGGCCCTGGCTGGCCACCTCAGCGTGGCGCTGGTAGCGCTCGATGATCTGCTCCGATGCCACAACCCAGCCCATCCGCGAGCCCGGGATGAGGACCTTGGAGAAGGAGTCCAGGCGCATGACGCGGCCGTCGATGTCGATGCTCACCAGCGAAGGGATCAGGGACGAGACGAACTCGTCCACGCTGGTTGGGACGGGGGCGGGAGGCTGGTCGGCGCCGGTGTAGGGCTGCATCTGGAGGAAGTAATATGGCTCGTCCTCAAGGATGTAGATGTCGTGCTTCTGCGCCACTTGGTAGATGGCCTTGCGCCGCTCGGTGCCCTGGGTGGCGCCTGTTGGGTTCTGTCCCGAGGGCACGGTGTAAAGAACGTGGGGTTTCCTGGCACCGCCCCGGGCGGCGACATCCCAGTTGCTGAGCATCTCATCCATTGCCTCGGGGATAAGTCCCTGCTCGTCAATCTTGACGCCGAACATGTTGATTCCAAGAGGGGCGAATGTTTCGAGTGCGGTTGAGAAGCTGAACTCCTCGGTGAGGATGGAGTCCTGGCGGTCTTTGTCGCAGAACATGCGGATAGCCTGTTCTAGGGCACCTGTGCTGCCGATTGTCTGACATACTCTCCAGTCGGCATAGGGAGGGCGGCAGACCAGCTCGGTGTGTTCTGTAATGAAACGCATCATCTGCGCAGAGCCGGTTGACTGGCCGTAGTTGAGGGCGATGGAGAGGTCATACTCGCTATCGTGGTCCCGGACATCGTATTTGCCAATGGAGATGTGCTGTCCTGATTCAATTGTGGCCTGCTCGGAGAAGTTGGGTGACTTGGGCACTTTCATTCCGAGCTCGGCTATGGGGAACAATTGGCTTGATGGCAGTCCGCCTCCAAGAGAGATCAGTCCTGGTTTCTTGAGGAATTTTGCTGCCTGCTTGAGGGTGCATGGTTTCCTTTCCCTGCTCTCTTGGCTAAGATGGTCTGCGTTACGAGATAAAGGTTAGTGAGTGTATCTAAGAGGAAAGGAGAGCCTCTTATAGATGAGCCTGGTGATAACATACTATCCCAGCGTTTAGCTTTTGGCTTCCCTGTTTGCTACGGAGAAGGAATGTCAGTTTAAAAGCCACCACAACTTGACGAAGAGAGCCTTACCGGTCCCTTGAACATGTCACTATCTGATGCTGCAGCTATACCTGCAACCAGCTTTCCTGCCTTTACTCTCCTCTCAGTGATCTCGTCGATCATGCTCCTTCCACGACCGCCTTCATAGTGAGCACTCTTGCCTGAAGGAACTGCATCGGAGCTCAATGCTTTGCTATGAACACACTGCACGTGGCGGGAGGACAGGTGAGAACCCCGGGCGTTGGACAGAGCCGAAGGCCCTTCACAGGAAGTTGTTATCAGGGCGGGAGACATCCTTAGTAGTGCTGTCGGGTTTGACGAGTAAGACAAGTGTGGCCGGGGAGAGCCCCGGAGAACAAGATTCGGACGACGCATTATATATCTGGGCAAGCGCCACTGCTTTTGGAGTCGAGGCGGTCGAGCGCTGTCTCAGATCGACGTATAAGTGACGAAGAGACCGATTCTCCGTCTTTGTCCGTGTCTCGCTGTGTTGAGTGGCGGCACACCAGCTAATCTACCTACGAACAACTAGGCCGGTCGGTGTCTCTGGATAGCACCTGTGCCCCGTATGCACTTTGATCAATGGGGCATACCGTACAGCACCCCGGCCCCGGTTTCGGATGCCCCTGTGGGCATATATGGATTGTCTTCATCGTTGCATGTAGCTGTCGACAAGTAGGGCGCTGGTACCCCGCAGCTGCGTAGGGCGTTGAGCGCTAAGTGATCGGCGTAGTGCTGAAACCCTATCGATCGGCCTATCGGAGTATCGGAGTGTTCGCTTGAAGACAGCTCGGCCCGCTCAGGCACCACCTTCGAACAAGTAGAAAAAGGATCAACACCCATAGCATTGGAAATTGTGCTTGCATTTAATATTTCATGCTTTTGCTGCATTAGATATTCAAGTAGTTTTGGGTGACGCTGCCCCAACTAACTTCGAGGAGCGATCACATATTCCTGAACATACATCACTATGCCCTACTGAAATGGGTGAGTTAATGCCTTGATAGTCGGTATTAAGAGGTGAATGTAATAACAAGTATGAGATGAACATACAGAGCTCCACACTGGCGAATTTAAGATGTCTGCAAAACTGTGCTGATTAAATATAGTGACCTAAGTACCATTGGCTCTGGGAACATGCATACCCAAAGTCGACATCAACTGAGCATCGAGACTGCATATGTAAATGTCAATTACCCTAAAAGAAATCGCATTGATAGATAAGGCAAGTATGAGATCAAGAAGTAACCCATCTCTCACGTTTAGTTCTTAACTTCAGACCCCTCCCTCACTTCTGGAGAGACGGCGAATAAAACCAGCCACAGCGTTCCGGTTGACAATTCCAATGGAGCCTTCTCTGGGACTAGGACTGCAGCAACATGTTCCTCGAGGGCCTTGAGCTGAATAGCTGCACTGGGCGCTTCCTCTGCCTGTGCTTTCTGGACAAGGGTCCCGGTAGGAAGCGCAAGCAAGTGCTCTAGCTCAGGTGAGTGAGCAAGCACTGCGTGTAAGCCGCGGCCCGTAAACCACTTCTTGTTGGCGACGGCCACATAGGCCACGGCGCGCTGGTATGGCGTCTGGGGCTTCTTGACCACAGCTCCAATTGTGTGAGCAGGCAAAGAAACTACGGTCCCAACAGTGGCGAACGCGCTGTGGATGGGGATGGAGATGGCACCCCCAATCACACCAAAGGCGGCACCGATGACGTTTCCGCGCTTTGCCTGGGACGCGATGTTCTTTCCGACTGACTTTGTGTGTGAAGCGATGCTTTTGCCTAGACTCTTGGGGCCTTCGCCAATGTCCCGTGCAATGTCTGCAGCATGGCTGACGGCTCTATCCGAGACCTTTGCTGCCAAGAATGCAGACACGGTCTCGAGGAACGAGCGCCAGGTCTGCTCCGTGATGCCATAATTGAGAAGCGACGGTGCATATGCAATCAGGAAGGGCGAGGCTGCGTCGGGTTTCTCCTGAGGAATGGCAATTGGCGGCTGCTGGTGCAATGGCTGGCTGCTTGAGGTCGAGCCGCCTGCAGAGCTGGCAGCAGAGTATGCGGGAAGCTCCTCGTCTGCAGGGAACTGGAAGGGTGCATTCACAGTCGGCACCCCCGCTGCCTCCGAGGCATCATATGCTGGCAGCGGTTCCTCGTTTTGGTGAGGTGCAGCCGCGGCAGACGAGGATGAGCCCGCCGCTGGTGTAGGGCCCGATCTAGACCCTGAAAATGGGTTCCATGACTTGTCGTCCTTGGCAGACGCCTTCCCACTATCGCCAGCCTTGTCTCCCATGATTTGATCGTTGCAATGGGGCTGTCCGTGCTACTGGCAGCGAGCAATGCGTGAAGGAGGTTTGTTGAGACGCCATGGCTTGCTCTCCGGCATGTTATTGCCGTAAGGCAGAAAGAACGGTATTGGGTTTAGTTACATAATAAGATCCATGGGCTCTATAGAAGCAGCGGTTTGACCGTCAGCAATCAGAGTTCCCTGCAAATGGATCGATCTATCCGCGGTATCTTTTAGCGACATGACGCACGCTCAAGAGGCGGCGCCGCCCCTGTTTGGTGGTTTAGGTTAGCGCCAAGTGCCCCCGTAAGCTCCCAAGCTCCAACTCTGTGCAAAGTATCAGCCAAGGAGCCTCATTGCCCAGCCATTGATTGCGCATTCGTCCCCTGATGGCCATCAGGAATCGCTCGACGGCCACAAGTCATGCATGGAAATGATTGATCGGCCGCCGCATCGGATTCTCAAGTTGAAGCGCTGGTTCTCCCTCGACCGGGGAGTCGCGCCATCTTCGAGATGTACTGGCCCATAGCAACTCCGCGCATCTATGCTACGAGCAGCAGTCGGAACACAAGCCCCCATCTCGTCAAGTCTCATGATGGACTGTCCTCCATACCCGAATCAGAGGCCGCTACCTCCTTGGACCCCAGCGATGCCGTCTCCAACTCGAGCTCCAAGCTAGCAGTGCCTGGCCCATCCGATACCCCGTCACTGGCACCCAAAACACCCAAGACTCCCGCTGTGCAGTCTGTCGAGCATGACGATGATCCAACAGATACCTCACGCCAGAATAATGCGGCTGATACACCGGTCGGCCCGATTCCCCTCAAAGATCCTATCCTCGCGCTCCGGGTCTCACGAACTGGTCATCTGTTCGCCGTCATAACCAAGACCGCAATCACCGTATGGCAGACAAAGGTAAGAGACGGATTGATGTCTTGCTCGTCTTGCTCTTTGAGAATGGGGTTCTGATATTTATCCTTTAGCCAACCGTGGTTCTCGCTTCTGTTGTCCGATCCGAATCATCTATTCACCTCTACGGCGACAATGTCAATCTATTCCTTCGACCAGACTCGGCAATCCTTGTCGTGCACACATCGAACGGTTATCTCATCACATACTCTCTGGCCACCGATGGGGAGTCTAGCGTTTACAAATCGACCTTCCCCAACTATCACAACATCCAGCGCCGGAGGCAACATCTTTCTCCTGGCCAGGCTGCCCTACCACCCGATGATTTCCTCTGGGGACCTGGCGAAGGCTCCGGGGTCCGCGACGTCAGCGTCCGTTTTCGAATGGTGATAAAGGTTGATGCTGGGATCGAATGTGCCTTGGCATTGGATGACGAACTGGTTGTTGCGACCCGAAAACCGGCTGCAGTCCAATGCATTCGATGGACCCCTGACGGCGAGGGCAAACAGACGAAGACGGAATTGATCAGCAAAATGGACTGGACGGAAAAGAAGGCCATAATAACTGAAATGACCTATGATCGCCCGATGAACCTCATGACTTGGATAACCAACGACGGACGAGCATCTGCTGTTCAGCGCTACCATCATCGTCCAGATAGCCGTGATGCGAAAGAAGCCGACGCCAAGCGCCTCTTTAAAGGGCACTGTTTCCATATTCCCAAGTCTGCATCGCAGTATGCGACAAGAGCTGTTATCAACGCGCGCTTCTCCCTGATTGCTGTGGGCTGCCAAGACGGATCCGTTCAGGTATACTATGTCCGCGACTATGCTGGAAATGTGACGCTCTCGCACACACACCAGATCCCCGTGTCGTCCTCCGCCTCTGGTGCTTTCACCACACTGAGCTATTCGCCAGATGGGTATTGTCTCTTTGCAGGCTTCGAGAAGGGATGGTCAACCTGGTCCATGTATGGAAAGCTTGGCAGCAATAGTTTCGGCTCGGAAGAGATCATTTCAAAGATCAATGGCGAAGAGTGGCTTCGCGGGCTCACCGAGGCATCTTGGATTGGAGGTGGAACCGAGATCCTTATGGTTGGACGACAGCATGAGGCAGTTTGGTCACTAGAGATGGCTAAGAGTGCTGTGACAGGCTGCTACAACGAGGCAAATGTGCTCCGCAGCGTCCTCCAAACTCCTACGAGTGTAATGGTCTATCGGGGATATGATCTTCCTGACCTCACAAGCATCTCCGCAGAGCCTTTTCTCTGGCATACCTCAAGAGTGCCAGCTTCATATCTATTAAAACAGTGGCCGATACGGCAAACCGTCATCTCTCCAGATGGCCGGTATGTTGCAGTCGCGGGTCGTCGTGGTCTGGCTCACTACAGTGTCAACAGTGGGAGATGGAAGACCTTTGAGAATGAGGCGGCAGAGAATGAGTTCCAGGTACGCGGTGGCATGTGCTGGTACCAGCATGTGCTCATCGCTGCAGTTGAATGCAGCAACAAATCCTTTGAACTTCGATTGTTCTCGCGCGAGACCGCCTTGGATAACGCACGCGTTCTTCATAGGGAGGAACTGCCAGCACCTGTGGTATTAGTGACTACTTCAGGCGATGATTCCCTTCTGGTATACACCTACGAAAATCTTCTCTATCACTACATTCTTGCGCCATATAATGGGTCTATCCGTCCCATCCAGGTTGGGCAGATTGCTTTCCACGGCATTATAAGATCGCCAGCGCGAGTGCGAGCATTAAGTTGGCTACTACCAGATAGTCAGGTTAGTGATGGGGACCCTTCGCAGGATGTCGTCGTGGCCTCGGTAATTTTCCTGGTCGATGGCAAGCTGGTTTTACTATCACCCTCACTCAATGACGAGGGACATTTGAAATACGATATGCGAGTTATTGCACAAAATGTGGAATACTACGCAACCATGAGGGACCAACCTCTACTTAATATCACTAAGCAGGGCGAAGATAGCATTCCGTCCCAAGGACCTTTGGCATTGAAGGACTCACTTTGGGTGTTTGATGGGATGGAGCTGAAGGCGTGGACCGACCTTGGCGAGGTCCTCGGGGCTGTGTCCGATGGCAGCACGAGAG